AACGTCTGAGATTGTCATCATTGTATGTTCCCATTAAATGGTGAAATGAGTTCTCTGCATTTAACCCCTCACACCTGAGATACGCCCAGGTGGAGCAGTGGGCAGCTATGTAGGCACCCAGGGAGCAGGTGTCTTTGCTCAGAGACACCACGACATGTGGGAATGGCTGGGAGTCGAACCACAACTTTCTGGTCCCAAGTTGGCTGCCCTACCTCTGAACCATCTCGACCCCCTAAACAGCCCTGAAACTTGCCTCCACCCTCTGAGCCCATGAGCAAGGCCCTTAACCCCCCCATCTGCTTCCTGGGTGCCTCAGGTGGCAGCCCACTGCTTCACACGTGTGTGCTCATGTGCGATGGGAAAAATGCAGAGAATCAATTTCCCCATTAGGTGATTAATAGAGTACAATAAAAATAAATAAGTAAATGAAGCCGGTGGAGGCAAACAGACAATCAGTGCAGAAGAGGCGGCTGCATTCATGAGTCATGACAGCATCTTTTCTATCACGTGGACTTGAGAAACTCCTTCAGGACACATGGAGTTTCCTGTTTCTGAAATATTTTGACTTCTTATTTCTCTCAGAACTACTGTAGCCAGAATTCACAGCATTCACAGAGTGCACAATATTCAAAGCACTTGTGGTTTTGCACTGACTCGTACTAAATTGCGCTCCCACTGGTATTTGCTACTTTAGCTGCATTCCTAAAATCCAACCTGCTGACTCAACTTTAAATTGATCAGAGACAACTGAAATGTAAGTCCAGTGAGCTAACGTGAGCTTTAAAATATATATATTTTATCAGAATGCAGAAGATAGTAAAAAATATTGTATTGGTATTTTCTTTTGAAAAGCCTTTCAGACTTCAGAACCATAATTTACATTGTTTGAATCGAGAAATATACAACAATGGTAACATTAATTTGAATTCTGTTTATCGAGACTATTTTTAAAGGACAGTTTTATCACACCGGTACGTTAAAAACAAGGGAAGAATGAAATTACAGAAGCACTTTGCAACAATTAAAATAAAATGTGAACACATTCAAGTAAATACTGACACTTTATGAATAAAAACATATTTTATAGTTATCTTCTTCTGGGGACAAACTTGTCTCATTATGTTACAGCCATTCATGTGAATAAAGTGATTATTGTGTTATTATTTAAAACTAAAAATCTACGTTGATTGACAGAGATGATGAAACCATTCTCTGCGTGAATATGCTCCTTGCTCATTTCCATTGATGAGCTCCTCCACTCTGCAGTGCAGTGACTGTGCACACACAGAAACACCATTTTAAAGCATGAGGAGGAGGAGCGTTCCTCATTTGACAAAAGATTATGTGTTTTATTGAGGTGCTGGGAAGGGGGAATAAATTTCAAAGAAAAACAGCGGTCACTGAGTATATTTTCATGTACCCAGCTGAAGTACAGAGGCGCTCGCTGCTGCTGTGCTCATTATGTGTCATTCGTCAAAGCATTCAGCTCAATTCAGACGGTACACTGCAGAGATTTAGATAAACAGATTTCATTAACTTAAAGGGTTTGATCAGAAATATGTTCGTTGATTTATGTTTGCCTTAGTCAAGCAATGCACATGACTCATTTTTGTTGTCAGGGTCTTTAAGGCAACTAAGGACAAGGGTTTTTGTGTTTGCCTGTTTGTGGAACAGGTTGCAGATGAAGCGCAGTCAGTCTGTTGCGCAATACATGTGCCAAGAAAAGTGGCATCGGTACAACTTCATTTTAAAAGCCACAGTGAAACCTTTGAGTTGAAAACCAATGAAAGCTACTTTATTAGGAACATGAATGGCGTCGTGTTTGCCTGATTCACTCCAGTACAGTGTGAATCAACGTGTTTCATAAAGTCTATTTAAATATCTAACATTTATGCCCGTATTTCTTTATTAACTTCACTCCTTGTTTGACATTTGATATTCACTTTGCATGCACATTACTGTATGCTGCAGCAGACTGGTCAGCGCTGAGCCAATCAGAGCAAACAGCTCAGTCACGGTCACCCTTCTTTTGCTTTTCAAGGCTGCTTCATGCAGTTTGTTCCTTGGAGCGTCAGCTGCAAATAGTCATCGCAGTCATGAAACACCTCTTCAGCTCGGTAAATTGCTAAGCACCTTGCGAGCACAAACGTGTGTATGACTGGAGTGGAGCTTTTTGCTTTCGCTTTAAATCCTGCACTGAATCATTTGTAAAACTTATTCTATAAGTTGACTGTTCCATTTTATTTACTTTCAAAGGGCTTTACAGCCACAAAGAAAGAAAATGGCAGGTCCACTTATTGACCAGAATACCACATGAATCCAAACGATTTAAAGGTCTTAACCTTTCAGAATATCAGACCCTAGTCTCCCTTGATGAGTTTTTCCAACAAAAAAAATTCACATTTTCTTTTCTTCCTGAAGATAACTCCTCTCTCTTCAGATGCAGCATCTTGTTTAATACCACTTGCTCTGTTCAAGCCTGTATTTATCTGGGCTGCAACTGTTGGGGACAAATTGCAAACAGCATTTGCATTTGTTACTGTTTGACAAGTATACCACCCAGACAAACTCCCCACAGACCTCTTTCCCAGAGCGGTGTACTTGACATCACTTGGGGCTCGTCTTCGTGTTCACCTAGTAAGTGAAATAAATGCTAAGACTAGTGGTATTATATCACGGACTATTGAACAATAATAGGCATGTGGTGCATTTATATGTCTGGGCTGCACACAAACTACGCTAATTAAAATCCAACTTTTTCCTCCTTCTCTTACAGTCGGTGCATATTATCCAAATGCTACAAACTCTCAGAGCAGCTGTACAGATGTGGATGCTGTCTGCAGAGAAAGCACAACATACAATGCTTTTTTTGTTGCCAAACATAAATAAAACTTACTTTTTTAATTGCTTTTGTCTTGAGGTTGGGTATTATTCAGGCCTCCAGCCCCAAATGACCATATCTAACTACACTGACGATAGAAAGTAATAAATAAAAACCTGGTCCAAATCTATTTATCTTCAATTCAAAAGTGTAGTTCAGTAAAGGTAATTTATATTCTACTGAATGAAAAGCTGCCAAGTTGGGTACAAAACGAGTCAAAGTGGTTAGGATGTGGGCAGAGGCAGAAACAACATAATGTGCACAGCCACTAACGTAGCTTTGCAAGCCATGCACATGAAAATAAGCTATGGTTTTATTTTATGTTTTTAATATCTGTGGAAACAGCCACAAGTCTCGTTGGTCACAAAAACTCACAATGTGGCCACTTTTTGACTTGAAACAAAAAAAATTACATAATTTTCTTCATTTTGTTTTTTTGTTGTTTTGCATTTCCGTCTAGTCGTCAATAGTCACAGCCCAGAAAGATTCTGTCTTTACTATCTAGTCCAGTAAATACGCCCTGAGTGAACAGAAGAAACAAGTGGGACAATTCCAACCGTTCTGAATGTAGGCAGTGCTTTATTTGAGCTGGATCCTGCCGGAACATCCAGGAACTCCCATTTGGACAGGGGGCGTTCCAGCAACTCAAATCTCCGCCCCTAAAAGTCCAAAGTCATCACGCATTTTTATTTTGATTATTTATTAAAAGTTCAGTGAGAGGAGACGTTGTCCAGTCTGTGGAGTGGATATTAGAGCTGCAGCAGGCGCACCAGCTCACGCACATGCTCCTGCCCAGCAGAAATAAGGACTGCATGTCCCGCGGGGATGAAGTCTTCCTC